TAAATCAGTCTCAAAATAAGATCAAAAAGACATTTTGGCTGGATATAAGGTTTTAAAACTTGGCTAGGGGGACATTTTTTGCAGTGTTGAAACAGGTTGTCTCCAAAAGTTAATCAGTTATAAAAGATCCAATGATTCTTCTGAGTGATTTATTGAAAAAAACTCTTAGATATGATCAAATGAATTTAACCAATCATGAATATATTCTTTGTCAACACTATAGGACAGTTCTCTCAGTTTTGCTGTTGGAAGGTCGAACGAGTTGTTTCTGTTATCTTTCCTGTACGGACTGTCTGTCTGTGATGTTACAAACACTTATAGATCAAAATATTCTTGGTTTTGTCTCAGGTTTGTCCCAGAATCTCCAAGGTGGCTCATGTCTCAGAAAAGTTCTCCAGAAGCTCTGAAAATCACTGAAGCAATGGCGCAGGAGAACGGGAAGAAACTCAACACCAATTTAGAGGTAAATRTGTACTTAGCACAAAAAGTAAGGTTATTCGTTTTTGGTAGATTGTTTCTTTGTTGTAACAATGCTTCTTGGCAATAAATCATATACAGTTGGAAAGCCTGTTAATTWCTCTTTTAAATGGTACCATATTTGTAAAGAACATGTATTAGTGGGATGAGCAGTAGAGCCGAGTATGTGGGTGGCACACATGAAAAATTGGCCAAATCTCTACCAAACAGCTTATTTAGCTTTTAGTCCTWCAGGAGCTACCAATCAGGTACCTGCCATAAGTGTATACCAAGCCACCAAACAGAAATTTCTTTACTTTTGTGCTAGATTTTGTTTTTTATTTTATCAAAATCGACTTTTGTACCACTGAAATAAATATTTAGCCAGAAATATTGATGGTAAATAATGTTTATTCCCCATCTTCTTTGCTGTGCTTCAGATCTTCTTCCAAAATCTGCAGTAGCAAATTTTGTTTTAGGCTCTAGGATACTAAAAACCTGACTATCATTAAAAATGATCTCCCATGTTAATGTTAGGAATCGGTGACATCTTGTTTTTGAAGAGTCCAGTTCTTGTTTTCTTTCTTTCTTTTTTTAAAAGTAATCTGAGTTGATGTGAATTAAAATTCGGACACGAGTTTTATCTCATTTAACTTGGACGCTTGCTATAGGAATAACCACAATAATTGAACATTCAGACGAGTTCAAGTTGATTCATAAAAGACTATGCAATCATTTATTTACACAAACTGAACAAATCATAAGTACACTTGATTGTGGTTATTCCTATAGCAAGCGTCAAAGTTAAATGAGATAAAACTCGTGTCCGAATTTTAATTCACATCAACTCAGATTACTTATGTAGAACAGTAAAACGATCAGCTCTGATGTTACAACCGAACAATTTTACTGGCACTTTCAGCTTAAGTTTCGGCAAATAAGACAAGAAAAGGAGGAAAGTAAGATTAGTATTTCTACTACTTTTACTTTGTCAAGTGTGGTCAACCGGGTCAGCACGTCCCTTCTGCGCTTAAGATTTCCACATGACACGTCACCCGGAACACGTCAGTTTTGCCTGGTGATGGCTTCTTAAGCAACCCCTGGCTAGTCACTGCCTCACCTCCGATCAGTCAGGGAACTTTTAATCGGCTTGCTCACTGTTCCTAGGAGAGAAAGGTGTTTTCCCAGGTAACTTTTCGTCTGTTTCAGTCCAAGCCAGAAAGATTCAAGCTGTACATCCAGTTCCTTCTTTCAAAATAAAATCTCCCCTCGGGAGTTAAAAACACACTTGGAGGCGAGAAGCCTCGGGTGGGACATCCGGCTGGCGTGCCGCTGTCCCGGCTGTTAGATCTCCCCTAGTTAGCTCATGGGCAAGACCTAACGAGCCAAACTGGCTTCTCCGGAGAGAAACTCAGCCTTCTTCCCAGGTTGGAAATCAGGAAGAAGAGTGTGGTTCAAAGACATCCGTGGTTAGTAATAGAAACGGACAAACTTTGGTTCCGCCCTCAGGCGTAAGATGAGTCAGAGAAAGAAAGATAAAGAGATTTGCCAGCGGCGCCAGCACAAGGCTAAAATTCTGTGGTTGTCAAAACAGAATATGATAACCTTTCTTCTGATAGACTCTAAGAGAAATCACTGCAAAACATTTATGATGATTAATTAACATTTCTGTTTTATAATCAGTCTGAACCATTCTGTTAGTCCAGATAAATGAAAGATTTCCTCAAGAAAAATCCACAATTATATTACTGTGTTCACAGTAAAATAAAAACAATGATTTACATAAAAACACAATGAAAACATTGTAATGATTTTCTCTGTGATTTTTTTATACCATTAATTAATCTTTTAGGCACGATAAAAGAGAAGTGGTTTCACTTTTCTTGTGATAGTCATTATCATGATTTAACAAATGCATAAACATTCTTGGTTAAACACAAATGAATCACGAACAGAAGAGATTGTTCTGTCCATTATCTGATTAAGAGAACTGAGAAATTCTCTTCTGGGTTATAATGACCTGTCATGGCCTAAATAGAGTTCAGTTTGTGACAGAGTTCCTGTCCTCTCATCAGGCCTGTGCGAGGCCTGCTTCGAGGCAGTAAATCTTGTTTCTTCACTCGAGGTGACCCCTACAGTTACAATTAAGCACCCAAACGAAATTCCCAGAGTCCACCATCTATTTTCTTCCATTTATCCTCATGGATGCAACCCAGACACCATTATCCTCAGAGATATTGTCCCAGCTGTTATACTCAACAGCGTGGACCTTCCATCTTAGTGGGATCTGCCAGATCTGCCAGATCCCACTAAGATGGAAGGACCACACTRATGAGTACGAACCAGAGAGCGGTACACCAGGGGTTGAGACCGACACGGACACAAAAAATTTATTACAGTATCTTTTGGTTATTTACACATTTATTGTCATTGATATATTAACCCACTAGGGAGCACTGTCAGGACAGTCTGAAGCCTAGAAGGCACAGTAGGGACCCCTGAARCCATTTATGGGACTGATAATGCCTAATAACGTCCATTAAATGGACTGATAACATCAGAATCAGTCCATGAAATGGACCCATGGAATGGGTCGCTACTGCGCCTTCTAGGCTTCAGACTGTCCCAACAGTGCCCCCTAGTGGGTTAATATATCAATGACAATGAATATGTAAATAACCAAAAGATATTGTAATAAATTTTTTGTGTCCACGTTTGTCTCAAACCTTGGTCTCCCGCTCTCTGATCCAACACTCTACCCATTGCCCTATTGGAAAGCCACAATATGCAACCGTTGGAGGGTGGTGTCTTTAGCGCTAACCATGTTGTTTGCTCCAAAGTTAACCTTAGTGGCTTTAAACCTCACATTAACCAGGTTTTATGCCTCATATTAACCAGATAGTGGTTTTATGCCTCATGTTAACCAGATAGTGGTTTTATGCCTCATACTAACCAGCTGACAATCTGAAGCCATTCTATGGGACGGAAAACCTGCTAACTGGCACAGGCGGGGCGGAAAACCTGCTAACTGGCACAGGCGGGGCATTCTGAAGCCATTCTACGGGACTGATAACGCCTGATAACATCCATTTCTTGGATGATAACATCCGAAGCGGGTGACCTTCCCATAAATACTCCACTAAGAGACATCCCAACCAGCTGCCCAAAACCCATTGGCTAGCTCCTTACACAGTGGAAGGCAGTGGTTCTGCTCTTTATTATGACCCCTGCTTCACATGTGGGATATTGTTTTTGTACTTATTTATTTATTTATTTATTTATTTATTTATTTTTCAAGATTTTTGGTCAACTGTAGCACAGAAACAACTTCACAAATCAATATGAAATTTGATAGGACTGTAGATGTGTCCGACCAACACAGCACCAGCCAGCAGTTTTACAGTAGACCCCTCTTTTTGGGTAAACTCCCACCCAAAACAATACTCGCATATGTGTGGAGGTCATATACACTACTGCTATTCCGTATCTAGTTTTTGTCTTTGCCGTTTAGAAAATAAAGAAAATTACCAGTCGTCTTCTTTGAAGGAAGACCAACGAATGCTGAATAGTACTGTTTAGCAACGATTATTGACCCTGTAAATAAGAGACCTTTCATTCACATCAGTTTCTCTTGCAGAGACTAACTCATGATGAAGGTGAGTCCAGCTCTGCATCATTGCTGGACCTGATCAGAACTCCAAAAATGAGAAAGCACACTTTCATCCTCATGTTTAACTGGTGAGACTCGTCTAAAACAAACTGTGGCAGCTTTTATACGCAGCAGACGGTGAATCTTTTTGTTTTATTTAACGCCTCAGGTTCACCAGTGCTGTGGTTTATCAGGGTCTGATCATGCGGGTGGGGATCACAGAAGGGAACGTCTACACYGACTTCTTCATCTCTAGTCTGGTGGAGTTCCCCGCTGCCTTCTTCATAATTCTCACCATCGAGCGAATCGGCCGTCGCCTTCCATTTGTCGCTGCCAACGTCGTGGCTGGAGTTTCCTGCCTCGTCACCGCCTGCATCCCTGACAGTGAGTCTCAATCAAAACTTGGAGAGAATTTGAAAAACCTTGACTGATGCTGGATTTCTCTCTGTTCTTAAGGCATGTTTTGGTTGAAGACATTAGTGGCCTGTATCGGTCGGCTGGGGATCACCATGGCCTTTGAGATGGTGGTGTTTGTCAATACTGAGCTCTACCCAACATTCATCAGGTGAAAAATTCTTTGGACCAAAACTAAATTATTGGTTATGATTTCAGAGCTAAGCAAAAATTATTTTGAGTAAACATACATTTTTTAACTGATTACAGGAACCTTGGAGTGTCGGTTTGTTCCACTCTCAGTGATGTTGGAGGAATTGTCTCTCCTTTCCTGCTCTACAGACTAGCTGCCATCTGGCTTGAATTGCCACTCATCATCTTTGGTAGGTTTCAGCTTTATTCTGTCTATCAAGGTTCAATTACCATATTTATTCGAGTATAATACGTAAAATTTAATCCATAAAATCATGCACAAAGTTGGGGGGTAGTACTGTACTCGGATACATATTTTTTGCTGATGTATTTTAACTGAAATATCTGCTTCATTCACAAAATCCCTGAGTCCGGAAATGAAACCCCGTTGTAAAAATGCGGTTGAAGCGAGCTTATTTCTAAAACTCTTTCATGCCTCCGAGTGAGTTACAGTAGTAACAGATCCAAGCAGGCAACATGATGTGAAAAAAAAGAAATAAAGCAGTCCTGCATAATGAATTAATAATATTAATGTGCGACCGGGCCGCTCCTGGAACAACAACAAACACATGGTCGTCTGTAATGGCTGCCGTCTACCGGTGTTCTGTAAAAGTTGGTATACATGAAAAAAGTTTCCCCACCAGAGGGGGCGCTCGCGAGACACAGAGGATGAGATTGTTGTTGAGTGGGATTCTGATGCCTTTATTACAGAGGAGGAATACCAGAAACTTTTAATGATACTGATGATGGTGAACCTGATTTTAAAGGCTTTGATTCAGCTTCATCCACACTTGTTAGAGCCACATAGCTCTCTCTGTTTGTTATATCACACCAGTTAACAAATGAACATTTGATAGTTTTTGTTGTAGTTATACGTTTGTTGTTGTGTACCTTTTAGTACATATGTTGTTAAAATAAAATTTTAAACTGATACAACAGTCAAATTATAATTTTACTGATATAAAGACTGCAAAGGCTGAAAAATCCTGAAGTCCATATGAAATTAGAGGTAGTGTGAGAATTAAATTTTTTATGCTTTTAAAGATAAAAATAGGGGGGTCGTATTACACATAAGATTGTATTATACACGAATAAATATGGTAGTCCTCATGGTGATGGCAGATATTTTTAGAAGATATAATCTGTAAACACTGGGCTACAAAACAGCCGTTACAGAATGCCCAGAGGCTGAAAGGTACATAAAGATATTGTAAKACATAAAGCCAAACTTCTTGTTTTTTTCCGATGCAGGGGTCGTAGCTCTAATAGCTGGAGGTTTGGTCCTGCTGCTGCCTGAAACCAAAGGAGTTTCTCTGCCTGAGACCATCGATGACATCGAGTTCCCCGATCGGTGAGAAGTATCCCAAATTTTAGCTCTTGTATGATTTAGTTTGGTGTTAGAGAGAGCGATGTTATTAAATTATTTTATTTGCAGGATTGCTTAAATGTGCGTTACACTGTATTTTTGGTTTTGATATATTTTCTCAGATCAGTAAAGTAGGAAAAATATCCAACTATCAATTTATGCACATTGCATTCATGTTACCTATTGTTGATGAGCTTTGAAATTATTGATACCAAATGTTTCACTCACAAAAACAACAGTTTTATTACAAAAAAAGGCAGCTGCAATGAAGAGTTTCTACTTTATTTACAGGTAAATACTGTGTTCTCTTTTTTTTTCAGGAAAAGGAAAAGTCAAGAGGAATATCAAAGCATTAAAAAACCTTTGAAAATTAATGAAACTGTTTAATTTTTCTAAATTATTCAGTTCTAAAAAAGGAGTTTTTATACCTTTTCCATGAAGTATACATTTTCCTTTTTTAAAGTAAAATAGTTTTTTAATCTGTCACAGAAAATAAAAACAAAATGAATTTTTAAAACAAGTTGTCATTCTGTCTTTATTCTGCACGATGCCACTGGTCAAACATGACACTAGTACGATGTCCAAAATGACACAGAATTATGACAGAGAATAATCTCTAATACCTCTGTCAGTTTTCCCCAAAAAACTTTATGTCCCTGTTTTCAGTCTTCATCCTTTCGAAGGATTAAGCCTGCAAAAAAAAAAAAAAAAAATCAGTGAAGAGTTTGTTTACAAACTGT